GTTACCTGGGGTGGGAGCCCCCTCTTCCCCCCACAGTTATGGAGCACCGGAAGCAGCAATTCCAAATAAGGCTGCTTACGGTTGTTTACAATCCTGAGGGGCGTGACAAACTGCGGAGCTATAATAAGTGGGGGTGATTAACTGATCGTTAGTCCAATAAATGTCTTACAGAGGGGAATGAGAAGGAATATCTCCAGAACAGCAATATGGAAAAAAGAACAAAGATGAAAGCAAAGTCTGGTTGACTTTCTTGCTTCTCTTTCTGGTGTGAAACACCCAAGGAGCCCTGTTTACTGTCTCAGGTAGAAAGTCCTCAGTTACTTCTTTGCTGCCTAGATTGTGACAGCTGTTTGTCCGGCTTCTGTGCATCCTTCCTGGCGCCGGCTGGCACACACACAAAGGGCCTCTCCCACTTTTCGGATCCCACTTGGGAAGCAGACAGGGAAACTAGGTTTAGTCCAGAACTTGCTTCCAGCAGAGAAAGAACTCACAAGAGCTGCCAGGGTCTAGCTTTCTTTACAGAACCATTTTAAATGGAAATAACAGGAGTTTATAGAAAAGTGGGAGAATGTCTCTTCTAGTTACGGGACAGGATAGGATGCGTGTAGCTGGAAAGAGAGAGGACTCTAATTCTCAGGGAAGAGGTGGTCCATGGTGAAGACAGCACAAGCGCATGTCCGGCACCTAGTCCATGGGCCGTAATTATGGAGAATGAATGAAAGGAGCCTGACTGGCTCATGCAGGGGTAACGCGACCTGCTCTTTTACTTCTTGCAATCAGAGTAATCCTTAGGAGCAGCGTGAAAGGCCAGTAAGAAATGCTGATGCTACTAGAATCCCTCAGGGTTGCCACATGAAGACTAAATATCTCTGCACAGTAAGGATATAAAGGAAGGATGACTCTGAGGAGAGGCTGGGCTACGATGATGTGGTCCTTAAATATCTGGGGAACAAAACTGGGAGATGACTTAAGAGTATCTCTATCCTTTGGTTTCTACTGACTCAGGAGCTCACATCCTTGAACTTCTGAGTTTGCCCTCAGGAATTAGAGACCTGAGGTCAGGTCTGGCCAGGTGCCCTTAGACAAGGCATCCAGCTTTCCTGCACCTTGGCTTCTCTACCCCAAGAGAACCAGAAGAAAATCTTTTCTCAGAGCCTTCTTTAAAAAATGCAAAATCTTACTGTGCTTACAGTGGTATCATTAGGGTCACGGCTGACTGAAGTGAGACCCACTTTAAAGACTGGACAGCAGGAGGCAGGGACCAGTGTTGAGAGGACGATTTCAGTTTGAGTGCTGCCCTTACGGGTGTGCGTGTCTGGCGCCTGGAAAGGTGGCTGTAGGCTTTCTCATCCACGGAAAATGATGCTGAGTTCGACGTGCATCCTGGTGGACGGTCTTTGAGTCCAAGTATCAAGTGGAAAAGGGACTTGATGTGAAGGATATTGTAGTTCATGAGGGTAATGTCTCAAGATCCTCATCAGATTTCCACTTTCCTTTCACGGATCATTTGCATGAACCATGTGAGGTCGTGGGCAGCCAACAAGATACCACGATTTTGGTGGCACAGACCCCTGGACTGAGGTGTTCGACCCCAGGGGACAAACTTCATAGATTCATCTAGTCCACAAATAATTAAGAGCCAACTCCACGCGGGGCTGGTCTAGGTATTCTGATTAACAATAATACAGCATTTATGATGTGCCAGCATCTTTCTAAGGGCTTCACATATATTAACTTACTTTATCCTCACCGTAACCCATGAAGTTGGGCTTGTTCCCACCTGTGTTTTACGTTAGGCACTGAGAGGTTAAATACCTGGTTCAAGGTCACACTGCGACCAGGAGTCAGGACTGGAACACAGGCAGACGGGCCCCACAGCCCATGCTCCTGCCTCCTGCGCGGTGGTGACCATGACAGCTGAGACACCTGTCCTCGTGGAAGAGGAGAAAACAGGGCAACAAGTGATGCTATTTCTGGTGCTGATTAAGTGCTGTGAGGAACTCTGAAGCAGGGTAAGGGGGTAGGGGTAAGGGGGCAGGGGGCAGAGCCACATGTGGTCAGGGAAGCCCTCTGTGATGGCGAGCAACCTTAGTAAAAGCCTGAGTGAAAAGGGGGTCCAGCTCTAAGAAGGCCTGGGGAGACTATTCCAGGCGAGGGGACAAAGGCTTCCAGAGGGCTACAGGCTTGGGGTGGGGGTGCCAGGGGCAGCAAGGGGTCATGGAATGGCGCGGGTGAGGGAGACAGGCCGTGGAGGCTCTCTGACGACTTCACGAGGACTGCAGGCTCGTCGTCGGGGATGAAGCCCCTGGAGGGTTTTGAGCAGGCTGTAACCTGCTCTGGTTTTTCACCCTGGCAGCCTGTGGAGAAGAGACCACTGGGGCAGACAGGGAGGCAGGTTAGAAGCTGTCACAGTGGCCAGTGTGAAGAAAATACAGATGCTATTTTAGACCTTTAGGCCAAGGCCAGCTCCGCCAGCTTAGAGGGAGGGGCCTCGGGGAATCGCCTGCAACTCATGAGCTAACTCGGGTCAACGTGAAGCTCGGGTTCAGGAGCGATCTTGACGTGAAAGGGAAGCACCTGCTGCTCTGCTAGTTAACACAGGCGCTCTCGGCCCGGAAGCGGGCCGCGCAGGCTCTGCCCCCCATCAAGGAAGGTGCACCTGGCAGGCTGTCCTGAGGACGGCCCGACCCGTGGCTCCAGAGCTTGAGTCTGTTTTGTGTGGATTCACTGGAATGTCTGGTGAGAGCCAGTCTATCCTTTCTTTTTTTTCTTCTTTTCTAAAAGCATTTCAAACCAAGAAGTGACACAGACAATTGCATAACTAAAGAAATGGTGGCACGGATTACTTACAGGTCCCTTTTCTAAGCACTTTCTACTCCGAGCAACTTTACAGTAAAAGATAAAACCAGCCTGTTTCGGAGGTGCTTGCCAACTTCTGCATGGGGAAGTGCCAAAGAACTGAATCTTCCTGAGTTTATGCAAAATAAGGACGCAGGCTGCTTGTTTTTCCAAGTTCCAGTGCTAAAGCATCCCATAAAATTCAACCACTGATGCATGGAAATGCCATTGTTCTAGAGTTTTTTAAATGGCAACTTTCTCTGCCACTATTAACACACATGCAAACGTGCACCAGCTTCTTTTGCTGACTATCCTATTATCTTTTCATGCTCTTAGTTAAAGATCATTTCCTAGGCTTGTCTGAATGTGGCCAAGTTATCCTATTGCTAGATAACTGTAGAACTCAAGGAGAGTTGTCAGAATCTGAAATGTTATTCTAGAAGGGACTGTTCCATTATGTAGGCAACATAACAAGACTATTAATTTTGACATAAAATGAAAACTAGTTTTTAATACTGCTTCTTTATTGAACTGTTTATAGAGTCAAGCATGAAGAAGGGTCAAAGATATAAACATATATCCCGATACACGTCATATATCGTGATAAGACATAATGTCAGCCAAGCTGGCATCTCCTGACAATGCTAAAGAAGCCCTTTCCAACACACTCACAGATCTTAGGAAAATGTAAGGGGTTTCCCTCCACCCCTAAACAAATTCACTGCAAGGAAGAGAGAAAAACGAAGGGAAGCAGAAATGGAGCTTATGGTGTGACTGTTGCTAAATCAGAGAAAAAGAGTGAAAAGGATGATTTTTTAGAGGGTGAGAAAACCAATCGCCAGCAGGCTGCTTTAGCCTTCGGCTCCCTGGTTAATTTTGCAGAGAGAAGGACACGTCACACCACCCAGGAGGCCAGGCTGCTGCAGGTGCTCCATCCACCTCACGAGAAAGAGCAAAGCAAGCATGAGCCAAGGCAACCGCCAGCACTTCTACAGGAGGAAAATAACCGCCCCCCCACCGCCGGGTCCTTTTGGGGTCAGTACCTAAGCAGCTGTGCTCCACACCTTTTGCACCTGCAGATACACCTTCCACATGCAACAAAATTTAGGTTCATAGCAGTGTCTTCCAGAAAAGGGCAAAATAATCTTGAATTATGACTTCAAAGTACTAGGAAAGGGTTTCCCTGGTGGCACAGTGGTCAAGAACCCATCTGCCAATGCAGGGGACATGGTTTTGAGCCCTGGTCCGGGAAGATCCCACATGCCGCGGAGCCACAACGACTGAGCTCACGTGCCACAACTATTGAAGCCCGTGAGCCTAGAGCCTGTGCTCCACAACAAAGAGTAGCCCCCACTCACCGCAGCTAGAGAAAAGCCTGCGCGCAGCAACGAAGACCCAACGCAGCCAAAAATAAATAAATAAATAAATAAATAAATAAATAAATAAATAAATAAAAATACTAGGAAAAGTAGATTACCTTTATACTCTGTGACACATGTCCACGTATCAATGTGTAATATATCTAACGAAGAGACAAAATTTAAAGGTTTCCTATACTTACAGCATCAATGTCTAGTAAACTATGGGAACTCAGCTTCCCAGAAGGATGCATTCCCTGGAAATTCTAGATGGCTGATATTTACGTACTCCTTGATTTAATAATATGACGGGTCATCTTTCTTTGTGCACATGAGTAAGACGAAGAGAGTTTCGGGCTTCCCTGGTGGCGCAGTGGTTAAGAATCCACCTGCCAGTGCAGGGGACACGGGTTCGAGCCCTGGTCCGGGAAGATCCCACATGCTGCGAAGCAACTAAGCCCGTACACCACAACTACTGAGCCTGCGCTCTAGAGCCCATGAGCCACAACTACTTAGCCCGAGTGTCACAACCACTGAAGCCCAGGCGCCTAGAGCCTGTGCTCCACAACAAGAGAAGCCACTGCAATGAGAAGCCCGTGCACCACAACCAAGAGTAGTCCCTGCTCGTCACAACTAGAGAAAGCCCACGCACAGCAACGAAGACCCAACACAGCCAAAAATAAAAACAAAAAAGAGGAAGAGAGTTTCATGATCCCGTGGTGTGAATCACAAACACCAATCAAGGGGGACATGTCAAAGCTTAAAGCTCTTAACGAAAATCCATACATCACTGAACCATCTTACCTGTCGACGGATTATTCCAAGGTCTCTTTTGGCTTTATTCATTAGGGCTTGAATTTGTACAGGATCCTTTACATTCTTATTTTCTCTGAAGGCATCTCTTATCCTCCTGATGGCATAACTTCTAAACGAATTCAGGGAAAGAAGGAAAAGGTGTCAGTGTGTCTGAAACGATGCTTTTAAAAATGAATTCAAAAGTGGTTCCTTAGGAATTAGCTGTCTGCTAGGCCCCTGTGGATAATCACCTCTGCTCTCTGCTCTTGGAACAGGCCCATCCATTACTATCCTGGGATGACTGAGCAAAAAGATTCGGGGAGATGAATCTACTCCAAACAAGTCAGGTGTGAATGGTAAAGTGCTACTGAAACACTCCTTAGATTATTGGCTTTTTACGGTTATTCACATCTGGCCTCCCTCCATTAACATGGATAACTGAACCTTCAATGTGCAGAGACAACACAACAATTGACAGGTGCCACGATGCACTGCACGTGCGTGTACCAAGACAGTGATCGATGCCACGCTTGGGTCAGCTTTCCAGTCTCATCCCACCTTCTCTTGTGAAACATAACAGGCAAGGACCCATACTGTGATCCTACCACAGGTGAGAGTGGAGAGGACACCAAAATGCTCTCTCCAACTCTAAAGTGCACACACGTGCACACACATAAACACCCCCCCCCAGCCCCGCCCAACATACACCACATGCAGTTCAGGGGAGCGGTTTAAGCGCAGGCCTTGCACATCAGACAGGCTTGGGGTTGAATTCTTTTCCAAGTTCCTTCTGTTTGTGAGAACCTGGGCAACCTTCTTAACATAAGCCCCTGTTTCCTCATCTTATGCCTGTCAAACAGGCATAATACTGCCTACCTCTCAGGGCTGTTGGGAAGGTTAGGCTTTACAATGTGTGTCTGGAATTTGGTACGAAACCTGTACATAGAAAAACTCAAGAAATAAAAGCTATTCTTTTCTCCTTCCTCTTCTTGTTACACCTTAATGCAATTAGTACCCCCTCTCCTCACGTCAGCCTGCGCTTCACCCTGCACCCTCGGGGTCACAGCAGGCTGCCGTGTGGATAATTAGCCACAGTAGACGATTCAAAAGTCGGTAATCTCTGGACTCCCACACTCAGAGAGTGATGGCCTCAACCCCGATGCCTGCCCAGCCTCACCAGACAGAAACGAGGACCAAGGAGACGCCGCCCAAGTCAGACACACCAGACGCGACTGTCTCTAGTGTTTGTATGATCTCCGGTTGCTCTGCACTTACCTTGAAACACCAGCTAAAGAATCCACATGAAACCATTAGTTCCACTTAGGAACCGAAGAACGGAAAAAGCAGCAAAGCAACGAGGGAAGGGGAATGCAAGTTCCTCGGGAGCTGGGGTATGGATACAACTGAACTGGGAAACCTTACTCTGGAGAGGACTAATTTTGTTTTAGATAAACTTTCCTAACGTAAAAGAAAATTAAACATTCAAATATCAAGTCCATTTGCATTTAAAAGCAAGAGAAAATGAAATCTTGTAACATTCAGAACCACAGGAGAAAAGTGGGCGGTTCAGGAGCCTGCACTTCAGGGCGTGAGCTGCTGCGGAGTCTTTCATCTTAGCCCCGCGGGAGCTTTCTGGAGTGCTTGCCGCGGAGCTTCTGGGTGCTCAGCATCTATCTCAGGGTCACAAGGATTGGAAATGGATATACATATGTAGATTTATATAGATTTTCCTCATGTACAGCTGCTAATCTAACAAGACTGCAGGCAGCAGCTGGGTGGCTAAAGCAATCTCTGGCACCTTCTGTGCACAACATACTGGTTATTTGTGTCACACAACATCACTGTTCTCCCTCACACCCACACGCTCCTCCAAAACAGTTTCTTTCTGGTGGTGATGGGAATAGAGAAGGAACAAAATAGTTTAATTCTAATATTTCGTTCCATATGCAGACTTGGTTTTACAACAGGAATTTACCTCAGGGAATCATCCAGTGTTTTAATTCTTCTTTTTGGAAAAATAACATGGGCAATAGTAGTCATTACTAAATTCATTCTTCTAAAAGCCAGCAACTAGCCAGAATAGCTAGGAGCAAAGGAGTATGTCTCGGAATGCAACGACCTAAGTTCTTCTAAAGTTTAAGGAAATTAGAAAATAGCTGAAGACACTCAACAATTTGTATCATTTGAGCTCAAGGTCAGTGTTCTTAGTGTGCTTTTGTGTATTCCAGTCTCCCCAAATCTCCAAAGTCTACACCTAAAGGAATGAAGCTCTTGATCTTCCAATTAAATGTGTCTGAAGCAATCAAAAGCTGTCATTCCAATGCTGGCTGCACCTCTGGAATGAGTGACGGAAAGGTCCCCTGCCCCCTTTCTTGCCCCCCCCCCCCAAAGCTGTCATTCCAATGCTGGCTGCACCTCTGGAATGAGTGACGGAAAGGCCCCCTGCCCCCTTTCTTGCCCCCCCCCCCACATCTATAGCACAGGCATTTCCCTTTGCCCCAAGAGAAGACACCGCGCTGGTTCTGGACCATAAAACCACTACTGCATGAACAGTTTTTAGTTACGTGATTCTTATTTCAAACGGTCGTCATTTTGCGAAGGTAAATCACAAATCGGGCTGAGTCTTCTCGTTTTCTAAGGGGCTAACCACCAATTATTTCAATCCTGCCCCGCCTTAGTTTGTACCATTTGCGTTTTTTTCACCGCTGCCAAGGGAAGCCATTTATCCTCCAACACGTTCTTGCCATCAGTCCCTTGACTCTATCATTGAGCAAGAACATTCCGAAGAAAAACGTGAGACGCTGCCAAGGAGACAGCAGCCAGCTGCTGCTGCACAACGGCCTGCATTGGGGCGACCCTAGCAGGAGCTAGAGGCTGTTTGAAATAAGACAAAAAATTAACACGTAAAGGGCAACCGAACAGCAATGGCTACCAAGAGAAAGTAGACGGCATCCACAGAAACGGCAGGTGGTTCTGCTAACACGTCACTGCTCTGCCTCTACCCTCCGGAAACTCTGCAGTTTCTTAGCGCTACTTTGTGCAGGAGATTCCCACGAGTCTCTCCTTCTCCACCCCCTCTCCCTGCTCCGTGCCCACAGACCTCCAGTGTACACAGGTGCTACTGGCTAGCCTTTCCCCACTGCAAGGATCAAACTCCTTTGTGAGATTCTTCCAGCCACTCCAACGTCCCTGGCGCAGGGCAATACGGCCGGCAGTAACGACAGCTCTATAGTGCCTGAGGTCCTGCTTCACCTCTTTCCAGAACCACTGTCAGCCAAATGTAGGCCATAAAAATCACAGCCGCCCAGCACCTGGAGGCTCACATTGGCTTCAGCGGGCAAGAGGTGTGATCTGGCAACCAGCTGATGTAATATCCTCATTTCTGTCATCCTTCGTCACCACCCCACATGCTGGCTTCTCTGCTTATCCATCCTGTAAAAACATCTGTGCCTTCTCCCCTTCCCACAGCCCCAAGCCAAGTATCCCAGTAACAAAACGACTCGACCCTTTCTCTTGGCCTCTTTGGGGCAAACTCCCGCACCTGCCTGGAAGGACGTCCTCCATCCACCAGCCTTAACTGGGAGATGCCCTGCTCCTGAAGACATGCTTCCCTCCCAGCCACTAGGGGGAAGGTGCTTCATCCTGCCGCCAAACTCCACGGGGCTGAGAGAGTGCTGCTACGCCCTTGGACCCTGCTGCTGCTTCGGATCATCTGTTCACCCTTACACACCTTTGAGGCCACACTACCTGAGGAAACCATGTGGTGTGCTTCCGTGACACTGCTGTCTGCTCACTTCTTGAGGTCAAGTCTTAAGATTCATCAAGCCTTAATATCTAAAGGCCACTCAGTGCAGACATAGGCCACCAATTTTAGGTAACAAAAATTTTCATAATACGTAGTACAGTAAGATCTTTAAAGTCAACTTTTATAGTGAGACAGATGATAGTGTCTGCACACTGTTACTGAGGTATCTATCTTTGATCTGTGGATGGAGAGTTCCGCAGCTGGCTAGTCTCTCCTCTTATCCTTTAGGTCTACTGGCTGTTTCTTCCTAGTCTTCCGTGCGGGCTTATCTCACTCTGCTACCTCCTGTATGTTGTATTCTCTAGGGCTCCATATTGGACCTCATTTTAATAACATGTCTTCCAGTAACCGCGTCTATGCCCAAGGTGTCAACTACCATATATGTCTATATGCCATTGGTTACCAAAACTTGCTCTAGAAAGTTTTGGTAGAACCCCAATCCATAGAACCTAACTGCCTTTTGGACTTGCCAACAAAAGGCGCCCAGTATGCCCACTACAAATTCTCCCACTGAACACTTTCAAAACGGAAGTTATCATCTTCCTTTCCCTTTTCCCCAATGGCCAGTATTTCATTCCTAGGTAGGAGCATCCTCAGACAGCCAACTGTCCAAGTCAGACATTTGGGTATTCATCCTAAGTTCCTTCCTTTCCCTTAATTCCTTACATTTAGACAATCACAAAATCTTACTGTTTCAACTTACAGTCTTCTGCATCATCTTCCACTTCTCCAAACCCTCAGCTCTAATCTTGGTTCAGGCTCTTACCTCAGATTAACGCAAGAGTCTTGGGATTATGGTGTATGTATGCTGTGTATAATAAAATGCATAGTAACAGCTTTAGAGGAGAAGCTCAAGGACCATCTGAAGGTCATAAGTACTCTGGGTAAGGAACAGAGCAGAAAGCTTCCTTCTTATGAACGTTTAAGTTCCCACTGGAATGGTAGCCCCACACAGTATGGACTTTTATCTTCCTTGTGCCTGGCTCAGAGAGAGTGCTTAATAAATATTTACTAAATATACAAACTTATCCAAATATCATATCAAAGAGACCTTCAAGAAAAATACTAATAATCAGTAAGGAAATCACAACAAAGAGTAAGAAACCGATAAAGAAATAGAATGGAAAGGGTTGTAGCACAAAGATTGAATTAACCTCTGAAGGGGAATGATTACAAAATTCACCATGAGAATCCAATGAAGAAGCCTAGAAGGCCTATCATGTAAGCACTGTGGGAGGTGGAGATCAACAAGGTTACTGGCCTCAGGGGCGGCTGGAGGATGAAATCCACACCCAAATCATGAAAGAGGAAATAAGAGCCAGGCA